AGCGACCCCTCCTTGGGTTTCCGAGGCGGTATCACTGCGGAAGTAGATTGCCCAACCTTCCTTCCAAGGAGTGGCTGGTGGGTTTGAACTACCAGCCTCCTGGTTAGCAGTCAAGTGCCTTCGGCACTATGCTACTAGAGCTCCCAGTTTAGTACCTGGCACATAATAAATTGCTCAATAAATACTATGTACTTTCATAAGTTAAAATCTGAAAGCTTGCAGTATGGAAACTAAAAATATGAGCTTTGTTCTGAACTTATATCCAAAAATATGGTTCTTTTTTCTTATTTCATGTTTTAAAACATCAGCCTCAGATAATTAGTGAGTATGGGGATGGTGGGCTCCTTCCCCAAACTTGCTAAAATTTTGGGCTCATACCTTTGGGTCTTCCTTCAATTGGGTGAGCTGTCTCTAAGCAACCTTCCATACCACACTTTGCTTACATATTAGAACTAGATTTCAATGCCATATCTAACCTGGGCAATGTTACCTGCCTTATATCTGAAAATGTCACTTTTTTTTTTCTTCCAGTCCACATAAAATCAAATTCTCTTACTAAGGAAGAAGGAAAAAGGGATGTTGGATGGGAACCAGCAGTCTACCACAATTTATTACTTCAGCCTGTCTGTCCAACTGCACCCGTTTGAGGCTTACTGATCTATGTCCATCATGTAGCACAGGGTTTGGTAGAGGGCGTGAATGAATTTTCTGTAGGATATGATCAGGATTCAGTTCTTGTTGTTATGTGCCACCGAGTCTGCAGTAGCATGGTATTTAAGGGCCTTTACAACCTGGCCATCAAGGACTCTTTTCTCACCTCTTACCTCTCTCTGTTGTATCACTTACCCTCTGCCTGGGCCATTCCAAACCCCTGCAGTTCTGAAGCCTTTGTCTTTGCACATGGTACTCCCTGTGTTGAAATGTCCTTTTCCATCTTGTAAGATCAATCCATTACTTCATATGGTTCAACCTAATAAAACCATTTACCCAGCTTAGTAAACTTTTAATAATTTAAGTCCCAGATCAAAAGACTTCTGGAACCGTTGAGGCTGGATGAACCCCTGAACCGATTGCCCTGAGATAATCTTGAAATCTTAAACCAAATTATCCCCTGAAGTCTACTTAAAACCAAGCAATAATGTAGCTTAACTAGTAAACAATGTCTGCCTTGAGCACTGTGCTCTATTAAGATCTTCTACATGGTATCAAATTGACAACAGCAACTGGAAAGATTAGATAGGAGCCTTAGGGGGCAGTGAGTTTATGTTTAGTGGTGGAGGAACACTTCAGAAAAGGAGGGTGAGAATGGTTGCACAACTTAAACATTGTAATCAATGTTACTGAATTGTACAGGTAGAAAATGTTGAATTGGTGTATGTTCTGCTGTGTATATTTTCAACAACAACAAAAAATAAATTACATCTACATGTATTTTTAAAAAGCCATTTCCTTGACATTTTATCCATTCTTTCAGAAGACATTTACTGTGTGCCTATTTTGTGCCGGTATGAGGCTAATGATTCTCATAGGTTCTTAAGTAAGAGAGTAACAAGATTTTTTTTAAGCCACTAATGACTGTTAATCAGACAGAAATATGAAGACTGGATTATGGAGGGGATAAGAAAGAAGCTAGTGGGAGTAAAGCTGAGATGACTTTTAGAGACTCAGGTCTGGAATGGGAAGAGCTTGAACATGTCAGAGGAGGAGCTGAAGTTGGCGGGAGCTGATGACCAACTGGACATGGGATGAAGGATAAGCTAATAAAAAGATGACACCAAAATCTTTAGGCCTAAATTGTAGAGACCTGGACAGTGAGACAGAAGTAAAGGATACAGAGATGTTTTGGTTAAAAAATAAATAAAGGAATATAGTTATAGTAATGGATGCAGTAGGACATCAAAGCCAAAATATTGTGTCACTAAACTTTTTTGGAGTTTTAAGAAACCAACAGCCCCTTTGTCTTGAAAAGAGATGCTGCTCTTCAGTGCTGTGTGCTTGACTGGCAGTCCAGGCATGGGGTAGAATTATTTTTATTACCTTAAACAATAATGATCATTTTTACTTAAAAGCCAAAGTAAAAAACATGTATTTGTTGCAAAGGTAGATCGAAATTAGTTGTAATGCCCTTCCTCACTCTACTCTATATAGCCAAGTTACTTAAACTCTGTGTTTTGTTTTCATTTATAAAACGGGTGGTAATAGTACCTACTCATACAGTTGCTCTAGGATCAAATAAGATGCTGCACGTGCAGTAAATGGTCTGGGGCTTGACATCTACAAAGTGCTCAATAAATGGCAGAACAGACTTCAGAAAGATACTTACATACATTCTTTTTAGACATACCTGAAGAAAAAGGAACACCAGCTTGGATAGTTGGGTTTTGTGCTGATCGTAACAGTTTTGACTGTAGCACACACACAAAAATAATTACCTTCAAAATTGGCTCCTGCATTTGATGACAATAAGTGGCATCTAAATAAAAATCTTATCATAATATTTCTGGAAGTGACCTTTCCTAGGAAATGGAGTTTGATGTTGGTTCCCTTTGCAGGGTAAAATGATGGCGTGCAAACACTGCAGTGACATTTTCAGCAAAGAGGGTGCTCTGAAACTCGCAGCCATAAGCAGAGAGAACCAGGGAATTGAAACAGACGATGAGAAGGACTTGCTTAAGAAGCAGCTGAGGGAGATGGAGCTGGAATTGGCACAAACCAAACTGCAATTGGTGGAGGCCAAGTGTAAAATCCAGGTTGGTGATGTGATATCAACAAGAAAAAAGAAAAGTTAGTGGTCCAGGGTGTTCTTGCACTTTGGAGTATGCCTATCTCTATCTAAGATGTTACAATGTGCAATTAAAACATTTTCTCCCCACAAATGTGTCTTGCCTAATGACATTTTTACATTATGTATTTTTAAACACTGATAAAAACAAACACCTAATTTTAAATTAAATTATAACAATTAAAGTGATACTTTGCAAACAGTTGCATTTTTAGTTTAACCAGGGATATTTTTGCTAAAGACCTTTGTCATTGAATTTAGTCACTTTGTAGCTGATCCTGAAAATAAAAGACTCTATTTCCTCATCTTTGTTCTATAGCCACATCCCCTCTGCTTTCCTTATCCCTCACAGTTGAACACTAACACCTGTTTTTTCTCTTGGGAGCTTCTTTTCATGTTTAGCTGAATTTCCAAATCCCTTCCCCCTAGTTTCCTTTGCACATTGGAGGATAGCATTAGTTAGAAGAATAGCCCTCTCCTCTTATGGGCTGTTCCTCATTTCCTTTTTACCTTGATCCTTACCCATTGCCATCATCCCACTTGTTGCCAGCCTGCACCACACTAGCCTGTCATTAACCATATTCTGCTCTCAACCTTGTCTAAGTTCTCAAGAGCAAAGGGTATGTCTCATTCATGCATATCAAAAACACCAAGAACCAAACTCACTGCTGCCGAGTCGGTCCCGATTCATAGTGACTCTTCCTTGGGTTTCCCAGGCAGTATCTCCAGATTGCCCAGTCTTCCTTCCGAAGAGTGGCTGGTGGGTTTGAACCGCCAGCTTACAGTATCAGTAAAAGTTAAAGCCATCCATACCTTTATGTTTACATGTGGCTTTAACACACTAAAGTCAACTTGTTATCTCAAATTGCAACCTAAATCTAAATGTAGACCTAAATTACAGAGGAAAAAAGAGTAAAATGAGGTTTCATTTCACTGTTCAAAGAAAGCACAGATTCTGACTTTTCATAAAAACTCCTTTAGTTCTAATTTTTTTTTTCTTTTTAGAAAGAAGATACTTCAGTCTGTCCTGGGTTTTGGGGAAGGAAAACTATGGCTGCATAGACCTGGGGATTCCAGAAAGCTGGATTCTTAATGTTTATTTGTAGACAGAAGGAAAACATGTGCATAACTCAGATGATTTTCTTTCCTTGATTAGGAACTTGAACACCAGAGAGGAGCCCTTATGAATGAAATCCAAGCTGCAAAAAACTCTTGGTTTAGCAAAACCCTGAACTCGATCAAAACAGCCACAGGCACCCAGCCACTGCAGCCACCACAGGCCACCCAGCCACCGAAGGAGAGCACATAGTTCCAGCTCCACCCAAGCACAAGAGCACAATGATCAAAGCAACGGGAGCCCAGAGGAGTCCTGCTGGTGTCCCTCTGAAGGGAAGTAAAGGAGGCCAGAGAGCCAGCCAGAATCTTTCAGTAGCTCTCACTCTTTCTTGTATGACACTTTTCAGAGGGACATTATTTAAATTCACCTGATGTATGTTGAATACCTGTTTTCCAGCTTCTTCATGGAAGGCCATGTTCAAATACTTCATAGTGTTACACATTATTTTACATGCCTGGATGTTTAGTTGGAAATAAGTAATTCAGAACCAGATGCTTTTTGTTTAGAACTAATTATTCGTACTTATTTTTATCTTACACAAAAATGGAGATGTCTCTTCAAGGCTGAAATGATAAGAAGATCTTGGTCGTGGCCAAAAATACAAAAACAAGATTGAAACCTAAGCCTCTTTCTTAATTTTTCAGGAGTTATTCAAATAAAGCACATCTCGGGGCTGGTCATGACCACTTTCGGGTTCCCACCTGACAGTGACTCCCAGGGTAGGGATTTTCCTGTCAAACTGAACAGACCCCAAAAAAGGATGGGATGTTTTCGTTTTCTGTGGGGTATATCTGGAAACGAAGTGCCACGGGCCTTGGAATAGATGGGTTACTGAGGGGCATGCTAGGTGAAAGAAACTGAGATCTTTATAAATACAGGATTAACTTTTATCATGTTTGTCCTGGTACCCTAACAGGTACTTTTAAAAACTGTACTCGGGAATTGCAAGTTCCTCAGTATGCCTAAGTGCGGACGTCCACAAATACAAAGTCATTGGGGTGTGTGGTGAGTTGCAGACTTGGGGAACCTTTACCAGAGAACCCTAGAAAGACCCTAGTTCAGCCGTTATGCTTAGAATGGAATAAAATGTTCCAAATGACAATACATGGAGAATCAGAAGTGGGGACAGAGAGTATTCCATTTAATGTGGATGTATACTTGCTAAAAACACTAACATGCTATAACTTTGTTAAAAGACGTACTATGGAAATGGGAAATACAGGTCAGCTTCACATCATCTTAGCTTCATGTTAGGCTGCTTTTCCTGATTTCTGTAGCTCCCTAAAAATGTGTCCTTGGTACTCCTAGATGAAGAGATACAAATACATTTGTAACATTTTTGATTGAATATAAGATCTTTATAGAAATACTGATCTCATGGAAAGGTAAAGCTATTGTTTAAAAATTGATGGAGATATTTTTGATTATATTTAACATGTCCATCTAATGTCCTTGCAGGGAATCTTTTCATAATGGCAAAACTAATTTTCCCATTTTCTAAGCTATTTTGGAGGCCTCTGGTCCTTTTACATCAACCAAACTACTATTGGCTCTGTACAGTAACATTTATTGACACTCATCCTGTTTCACTGTTAAACATAATGTTTGCAAAAGATCTTAAAACTCTGCATTGCCAGAGTGGTTCTCATCTGTGCCATATGTTGCAATTAAAATAAAAGTAACAGACTCTTGGAAGTCAAAGTGAAAGAGAGCCATCTTACCTCTAGGAGCTTGTACTGTAAGTTGGTCACGAAGGGATCCTTTCCTCACAAAAAAATTATTGAGTTCTAACACATGAAATCCCTTCATCTCTAAGTGTTGATATCTGTTACCATTGTTCATTTGTTATTCTTTGTTATACTCATCAAATAATACTATTCTTACAGAAATCTTTTTGTCCTGACATCTTTCATCATAATATTCATTTCCTTTTTACCAAAAAAAAAAAAAAAAACGCAACATTACAAAATTTCAGGAGATAACTCAGAAAATTATAGAACTGCTTCAGTTACTGCTAACTCACTTTTCATTATCATTTTGCTTTGGAGAAAGGAAAACAATGAGGCAGTTGAATCGACCCTGACATCTAGTGAATAGTGATGGTATTATTATCAGCGTGCCTGTTTTGACTTTAATATTAACTACATGGTAGATTAGAAAAACGAAATTTAAAAAATACATATAATGGCTATAAAATTACATCTCGGCACTTGTTTTTATAAATTGTTTACTATAATCTGTCAACTTTACTGTTACTTTATGCTTTGATTCCAGAAAGCCCTGTACAAGTTGCCTTCTCAAATGACCTGCTAAATTAAAGATGCTCTGTTGTGTGAATCTCATAGTTCTACTAATTTTTACTTTCCAGACATCAGTACATTCCATAGAACTCCTCAGTTGCATAATTTTCCTCCAATGGTAAGTGAGGGGCAAATAAAACCCCCCTAGGTCCAGTCCTCCCACCAGCCACTCCTCGGAAGGAAGGTTGGGCAATCTACTTTGGTAGTGATACTGCCTCGGAAACCCAAGGAGGGGTTGCTATGAGTCGAGGCCAACTCGACAGCACATAACAACAACAACAACAGGTCCAGTCCTTACCTATAGACCTTACTCAATCCCACAGTCCCTTACCTTTTGTTCTTTAAACAAACTCACCAGGTACATACATTCCAAAAGTTTGATAAATCTGTCTTTTGAGTTTTCCTTTAACTCTCTAGATTGATTTTCTTCTCACTGCCTGTAGGTACCATAAGTCTATACTGCCCCTCACTGCAATGATTTTGGGTCAGTAACAATTGTAAAGATCGGAAAGAAAAGAAAATTTATAATTTGGTACATTATATGATTTTTTTTTTTCCATAATTGTTATAATAGCACTGTCCCAAACCACATGTCCATTACTATGTATTGTTTGAAGACTCATGCATCCCAGTGTTAAGTAACTGCTAGTTTTAATTGCACATATCTGTACATATATTTTGAAAATTGCTAATCTTCTCTTGAATTTCTTTTATAAAGAGATCAACCAGCCAAATTCCAGGACATTTTCTAACATCCTAGAGTGTTGTTCACCTTTTCCTAGGATACACTGTACAAAACATTCCTCAAGAAATCCAACATTTGCCACATTCTAAAATAGGATTTTTCTTTTCATTTAATTCTACAGAGAAAAATAAGGAAATGAAACTCAACATTATGAATTCAGTTCATTAGCTTCTATATCTTGAGAATCGTTTTTTAACACATTCTTTAAAACAGAAAGAAGCCAAGTTGAATTTTACAGTGCATATGTTTGGTAGCTTCTCACATACTGAGCCATGTCACAGTTGTTATATTTAGTTACATATAATTTAATTCAAAGAAATCCTCAGTTTCCTAATGTTCTGTATATCCATGTATATCAGAGACACTAATAGAAATGCCTTATAGGCCTATGGCCTATCTTTCTATACCACCATTATCTCTCTTCTCCTCTCCTGGCTATTAAATTTCTAATTTCTTCTTTATATTGGCTTTCTTAAATTTCTCTAGTAAATTAGAAAAGCAATCTTTGTGTTGATGTTATTCAATAGAATTTGTCTTTTTCTTTTTTTCCTTCAAAATTTGTATTATTTTTACATACAAATATTGTTCTCTATCTTCTTAAAGTATTTAGGTGGCTTCATTTCCTAGCTGAAGTGAGAAAACTAAGAGAATACACAGCTTAGAGCACAAAACGTGAGACTTAGATTCTTAAAGGAATTGGTCATTCACTTATGATGAGAATCACTTATGTAACTAATGTAAGGAATTGAGCTTTCTTTGATTTTAGCTGAAATCAGCCTACTAATAATTTTGCCAGCACTATGCATCAAACACTAAGGTGGTTGTGTGATTTTCAGGTCTCCTTTAAGAGGGGGCAAACCTTTTAAAAAATTAAATACCTTTCCTCTTTTATCTCTCTGAGAAAGAGTGCTTCTAATTAGCAAAATGATTACTATGGTATAGCTTACCCTTTTAAAAAATCAAAAATTGCTCTGATTCTCTTGCTTCAAGTACAAATAAATGAGAGAATGGACAAACTGTGGTATGATTTGAACACTTACTAGATTCTGCCCCCCCCCACCATGGTTGGTAGAATTTTAGTATCCCTGCCTATTTTGTATATCCAAATACCATGAAACCAAATACACACTGAGGTTTTAAGAAATGAAGGCCAGAAGGCCAAACTACAGCTCTGTGGCCTACAATTCTTTCTACCAGATATAAAATGCTCTTTTTTCCTTTAGTTGTCATTCTGATGGTCCCACAGAGCTAGAACTGTCCCAATACATCCTTCTTTCATAGTGACTTCCATATAATACACATAAGGCCTTTACCTTATGAACTTCTTTATCTTTCAAAACCTACCAAAATAAGTACTTCAATGTGGGCTGCACCTCAGTTTCCGTACGTATCAGGCGTATCTCTAGAATCTGCTACCTGCTATAAAAACCAGCATTATCAGCATGTACCATCCTTTCCACTTCCATTACTGATTGTCATTAGCGGTATTCTGAAGCGTTTGATAAAAAGAATCATTTAGTAGAAAATGAAATTTTTATTTTCCTTTTTCATTGGCAATTATTTAACATGTCAAGTATTTTCCATTAATATGTAACTTTTATTAACTATATATATGGAACCCTAGGAGCTCTGGTAGCATAGTGCCTAAGGCACTTGACTGCTAATCAGAAGACTATCGGTTCAAACCCACCAGCCACTTCTCGGAAGGAAGGTTGGGCAATCTACTTCCGTAGTGATACTGCCTCGACCCAAGGAAGGGTCGCTATGAGTCAGGTCCAACTCGACGGCACATAACAACAACAACAACAGTATGGAACCCTGGTGACACAATGGCTAAAATGCCTGGCTGCTAACTGAAAGGTCAGCAGCTCAAACCCATGAGCTGCTGCTCGCTAGAAAGATGTGTCAGTCTGCTTCCATAATGATTACAGCCTTGGAAATGCTAAGGGGGCAGTTCTATAGTTCCATAGGGTCGCTATGAGTTGGAATTGACTCAATGGCACTGGGTTTATATAAGGAATAAAATATAGGAAACTGAATTGTAAGGATATAAATGCTACAAAAGACTCTGGTGTTGTGAAAGCAGAAGAAAGCTGGAGATGGTCCCAGAATCCAAGATGTCCCAGCCTTTTGCATCAGTTTTCTCTATTTTTAGTATTTTGCATAATGCATGGACCTTAGTTCAAGTAAGGGAAAAAGTTTCTCAGTCAGCCCACTACCTCTCTTTCTAGCTCTCCTACCTTTTTGTTATCAAGTAGTGTCTTAGTTATCTAATGCTGCTATAACAGAAATACCACAAGTGAATGGCTTTAACAGATTTTCTTTTCCCTCACTGTTGAGGAGGCTAGATGTCTGGATGGAGAGTGCCAGCTTTAGGAGAAGGCTTTGTCTCTTTCATCTCTGAAGGAAGGTCCTCTCCTGATTCTGCTTCCTGGTTCCTTGGAGATCTCCATGTATCTTGGAATCTATCTTACCCCATATTTCCTCTGTTCACTTGCTTAATCTCTTTTAATATCTCAAAAGAGACTGACTCAAGATGTACCCTACACTAATCCTGCCTCATGGAAATAACAAGACAACCTTTTGCCAAATGGAATTATAACCACAGGCATACAAGGTAGGATTTACACCACGTATTTTTTGGGGACATGATTCAATCCGTAACATTCCACACATTGGCCCCCTGACATTCATGTCCTTGCCACATGCAAAACACATTTACCCCATCCCAGGTTTTAGGATCCCATTTCTTCCCAATCAATGACCTCGCTTTAACTTTAGAC